CCCCCGCAAAAAAAAAAAAAAAAAAAAAAAGCACCTGCAGCAACAGAGGAGAACCTGTTTCCACAGAGCAGTTTTCAGCAGAGCTTTGCACTTTTCAGGCTATTTAGCAGTGGGATACCTGAGCTAGCCTTCTCAGACCCAGCCTGGGGTAACTCCTGGCGCTGCCTGGCACTCCGCACAGGGTCGGTTTTATTTCACTCTGTACCACAGAAACTAAGCAAATTAACCCAAACTGGCTCTTTTCCCTTCCACTCTCCAGGAAGAGAAGTATGTGTGCAGCCGGAGTCCATGCAGCAGGTATTTACCCACATCCTTGTCAGAGAGATGTTGGAGACGTGGCTGACCCTCATTTTCAAGCTGTGGTTTACCATGAGTTGCCACTGGGACCAAACAAGCTTTGGGGGCTAAATTTAGGGAGCAGAAATGTGTAATTTCATGTTTTCTCCTACTTTGTAAGGAGACCAGCCAGAAGCAGGATTAGCGCTCCTTGGGAGCAGCAGCAAAGCAGGTTATAACCAGACGCTGCTCCACTTGTGGTGCCTCACCTGCGAGCCTCAGACCAGATCCATCCCATGGCTGCAGTTAAAAGCGCCTGCCTGCGAAGCGCAGGGCGATGGAAAGCACAGCAAACACAGGCACATTAGGTCTTCTCACCCGTGGTCCACCTCCTGGGAGCACTGGCAGCTCAATGTCCACTCCAGCACTTTAACTGCTTCGTTTAACCATTGCCTGCATTAGCTGAAGGGAAGTTCATGTCAACAGACTGCTCCTTGTCCATCCCACCTCTACCTGCTGGCTGAATGGGCTCTGGCAGCCTTGAGGCTTTCCTCCTGGTGAAGTCCACGTTACACACAGGGACACCTACACCCACCCCAGCAAGAGCAGCTGTGCAATAAGGGCGGAAAATCCCCCAAAACCACAAAGCACATACCACACGCTGATGTATCTTGTCTCCTTAGAAAGGCACCTGAAAAATACAGGCTATGCTAATAGACTTCCTAAGTACGGCAAGACTCCAGGAGAAAACTGCAAAAGCTATTTGGTCATACATGGTTTTTGCCATGTCTGCAGATACATTAGCCAGACACTGCACACAGGACAGACAGAAGTTAGCTTATATTGGTACCACCAGAGAAGAAGTGCAGCTCTCAGTCAAGTTAGAGCCACGCAACATGAACCCCCATGCCTGCCAAACACAGAGAGTGTCTTCCATCTCCGAGCTCTATACAAAAGAGAAGACGGAGAATAACCCCCCCAAGACACAGCCACGTTTGAGGTGCCTCATGGGAATACCATGGATGCCCTCCGTGCCATCCCCACGAGAGTGCTGCCTGCAGCCAGGCAGCACGGATGCATGGCTAAACACAACAGCCGCAAAAAGCTGCAATAAATGAGTGAGTGAGCTAAAGAAGCAATTCCAGAGTCAGTACTGCGGACAATGGATCAAAGAAAAAAAAAACCATCGGCATCACCAGAAGCACTGTAATGGGGGAATGGGCACAGGAAACGTAAACACATTGTGTTTGCTGTTGACTTTCCCTTCTGCCACTCCTGTCTGTATGAAAAGCTGCTAACAAACATCAAAACCTTCACTGCTGTTTCTTCTACGCTAATGGTACATAGACATCTCCGATTAAAACTGGAACAAAAGTTGGCATCATTACCCTGAAATTCTAGCGTAATTCTTTTTCTTGAAGTTATAGTTGTAGTTAAACAGTTTAAATTTTCCCATTGCAATTAAAAAGAATACATTTTCTCTTTATAAAGTCTTTCATAGGATCTTTTACAAAAGCATAAAATGAAAAAACAGTAAGTAAATAGGAAAACCAGCAGGGCCAGGCATGCCAGAGGAGGAGTAAATGTGGAAGCTTTCACTGCATCCTGCTCTGTTTTACCCTGGTCTTCAGGGTAAAACAACGGGAAAACTCTCCCTAAGGCAAGGCCACCAGGCATGGCACCTCCCAGGTCCCCAGCCAGGCTGGGACTGCTCTTTGGAAGACCAGAATTGCATGCACACCCCTGGACAGGCTGCAGCCCTTTGTAAAAATAAACGGGATGTGAAATGTTTGTCAGACTGCCAAGTTTGACCGGTCTCTCCACTCAGTACTATATTTTTATATCTTTATAAAAAGATAAAAATATAGTTTTCATTTCACCCTTCTATTCTTCTGTTTCTTTGATTTCTAATGAGTCTCTATTCCACATTAACAACTTTAAAAGGGCCACATAAAGCTCAATATATTATCACTGTCAGTAAACCTCAAAAGCTTATTTTGCCATATCTCAAATGGAGGTGTCTGCAGGGAAGTCAAAGCAATTAAATGAAAACTCAGGCTCTTTTCATCCACAAAAAATAGGCACAGTTTTCACAAAGTTCACTGCAATATTTAAAAATCAACACAAGGACCTCAACCCCAACAGCAATTCTAAGAGATGAAGATGGGAGCTCAGAACAGGACTTTCAGATTTTGGGGTTTGGTGGTTTGGGGTTTTTTTTCTTTTAAAGGAAGTAGGAGCAAGAACATGCATACATATTATCTCCCCTGACCATAGAGATAAGCAGCATTTAAGAAAAAGAAACAGGTCTGCTGTTGCAAAGCTAAAAATACATTAGGCAAGCATGGATACTTAGGATGAACTTTATAATTTCTCCATGAAAATACAGCCTCACTCTTAAAAGCAGATGAATTCTTTCTTTTGGAGAGTCTTCTGAGGGAAGAAGACAACCAAATACACATAAAAACAGCAGGTACTATCTGCCCTCACTATTCATAACAATCCTGGCACATCATCAGTGATTTAAGCCATGAAACATTCTGGTTCCCAGACTGTCGCTGACTTCTTCCCATCAGTTGTTTCCACAGTTCTGCTACCACACCTTGACATGCAACCACCACAGGGACTGTCAGCTCCAACAGCATCACTGCCCACCACACCCCCTCCCCCAAAAAAGAGATACTCAAAATGGTATAGCGTGAAAATAAACAGAAAACTCCCTTGCTGTACTTTTTCCATTTTCAACCCCAAATTCATATCTGAACACAAAATAAGGAAATTCTTTGGAGAAGCAGCAGTCTCCAGCAGCCCAAGAGAGCTCATGCTCTTCACAAAACTCTGATACCACCGTTTTTTGCAAATGACGGTTGCAAAAAGGAAGGTTAAAATGGTGCAATTGTATAGACAAAATTGTGCACAGAGTCGCCAAAGAGGAAGACAAGTCAGCTACTCTCAAAATGAAGCATCAAGCCAAAGCCCACGCACTGCAGGACTTCCTTCACGCCTAAGAGCAGCCACTCACCCCAACGCAGGAGACTGATCCTAGATCATTCTGAAGTCTTTGCAGACCTACTTTGTGTGCATGGCTGTCTGTGCCTAGTTAGGGCTACCTGTCCTGTGAGCCCACTTCGGCAAGCAGTGACACGAAGAGAAGCCCCCACTGATCTGCCCATGAGACACATGGCCTTACCCAGGTACAGGGAAGCACAGGGCATGCCCCCTCGCATACCTCTCCAGGTCAGCAGAGCTACACCATAAGGCAACCTGCAAGTACAGACAACAAAATAAAGACCAAGTCCAACTGACAAGAATATGGCCTACCACAACAAAATAGTTACATTTTTAACCCAGCCAGAACAGTAAGCAAACCCCCTACTGCTGTCACCTACGAGATTGTTAATGACCCATTCCAATCACCTTTTCTTAACATCCCTGCTTGACTTTTATCCATCATTCCTTTATTTAATTAACCAATCCCTGTAATCACTCAATTTCCCCATATTGTCTTTCCTTTAGTCCTCCTCTTGCTAGATTTTGTAAGGGTTGGGCACTCAGCTCTAAGGCAAAATCCATGTAGACCACAGGAGAAGGAATTGTTCTTTCTACATTAAGGAGAACAAGCATTCTCTGACACCAAGGGATATTCTGCATCAAAACCTGCAGTTACACAGTGTGCATTCATGTATCAGCAGGCCAAGTATCCTCTGCGAATTACAGCAAAGTTACACACAGGCTGAATTGGCCACATCTGTCTCCCCTTTTGTCTGACCATGAGCAACACCAAGGAAGTAAATCTCATTTACTCCCTGATACAGCCCGTTGTCTGGGCTACACAGCCCTGTATTGATTACACTGATACACTGGGAGGGATAATTTATGGGACTGAAGGTGGAGTGATCCCAAGGAAAATTTTAGCAACACAAGACTTTGGGGTGGGGTGGGTTGGTTTTTTTGGTTTGTGTTGTTTTTAACAAGCCAAGCTTCGAAGAGGTCCGTTCTAAGCCTCCAGCATCCAGACACTCCGGGCAATCCTCTGCTGCCCATGTCTTCTGGAGGACCCCTGTCTCCACCAGCACCTGGTGCACCACAGCCAGGAACTCTGCCCAAGTCGAGCTCTGTCCCCAACTGCTTCCTAAGCAGGAACATGCTGAGAAAGAGGGAAAGTGAAACAGCTGGCTTCCCTGGGTTCGTTCCTCCTCTATTTTTTTCTTATTCGGAACACAAGGAAGATGCAAGAAATCCGTAAGAACCAGTTAAAGCATTAAAAAGAGAGCCGAACAGATCTGTTGTTGTGTTTGTTCAAGATTTAAGAAGAACAAAAGGAAGCCTCACAAAACCAGATGGTGGTTTTTTCCCCCCAGAGGAAACAGATACTCTGGCTGCCCTCCTGGTGTAGCCTGCATCAGCTCCAGAGGCTTGATCTGCCCTCTCTCAGGCATGAAAACCACAGCGCATTCAGGGCAGGGCATTGTCTCTGTGGGATCGGAGGGAGAAAGTCCTTTATACACTGAATGCCCCTAAATGACGTAACCGGAGCTCTGTGTTTTGGGGCTATTAAGATGCAAAGGAGAAAGTATTCAAACTCGGAGAAAGAAAGAGAGCTGTACAAGAATGTGAATCACGCCCTGAGTCACTGAAATGGAATAAAGAAGATCATTAAATGGTTCACTCCACCACCTCAACACTCCTTAATCCAGACATGGAAAGATTTCACAGATCATTAAGAGAGCAGAGCTTTACAGTCAGTTACTAGAGTTAGCCTTGGGTATCCGCAGGAGCTACCCAACTTCTTATACAGCAGTAACAGGATGAAATATTATACACATAAATCAGATCAGATTATCCAGCTGCACCTTCTGGCCCGAAAAATCCATGCATTCATGGATCCACTGAACCAATTCTCTTCCAGGATAATGCTTTACACCTCTACATGCATTAAAAATACATAATTCCTTAAAGAACTTTTCATCTAACATCTCAAAGCATCCTATAAATTGTAATCATATAAACCTCAAAATCTCTGAGAAAAATGGAAGAATTACCCCACTAATTTTACAGATGGGTTAAAAAAAGTCTTTCCTTGGACTTCTCTGCCACTGTTCTGTTCCCTACCGTGCCATTCTCTACTGGAAACAAGCTTGAACTTCACTGTAAGGCCAAACTGCTTACAATCTGAGAAGGGCACAAAAAATGACAAGTAAAAGTGAATTGCAAAACAGTAGACTCAAATTTAGGAGCTTGTAGAAATCTGCATGTCTGACAACAGCCATTGCCCAATTTCTTGTATTTGCTTGATTTAATGTTCCTAAAAATATCATGGGCAACAGGCTCCCTAAAGACTGCACCAGGCACAGACGTGCCCAGCACTCCCCAGCAGCACCAGTGCTGCCAGCCCGATGCCAGCGAGCTGGGCGTCCCATCCCTTCCTACGGCCATGGAGGGAGACCTCCATCCCCACCAACCTCTGGTGACTGCCCACCTGGCCTCTTCTGCTGCCCCCACCAAAGCAAGGTCGGCTGGTCCCAGACAACATTAGTCAAGAAGAGGACAAGCCTCACTAAGAAAGGCTCGTGAGGTTTCATGAGTTCAAGCCCAAGGGTGGACACACTCAAGGGGAGTCTGTCACAGCTAATACCCACTGCAGCCAGTGAGCTGGTCTCTGCTGATGGGATCCTCGGCTCACAAATCAGCACAGCTCCTCCAACTGCAGAGCAAATTTACGCCCCGGGAGGGTCAGTGGAGTCGGCTGCTGCAGGCACAGGAGGAGCACTGGGCAAGGCTGCCCAGAGCACACACCAGCTCCTCTGCAGGCGTCCCCAGGCCACCGAGCAGCCCACGCACCATTTGTTCAGGGGCCAGTCAGTTTGGCAGGGCATCAGCTGCTTTTACTCTCTACGGCAGAGGCCTATTAGTTTTAAAGAAAAACAAATCACAGACAATAGCCTCAAAGCTGTGCAAGAGGAACAGAGAGCGCTGCAGCTTAACAAGACAGAAAGCCATGCTCAAGTCCTACTGTTCTGCGTGGATATGATGATCCTGTTGCAGAGGTTGAGCCAAGCTCAGCGCACTACAAAAAAAGGGAGATAAAATGCAGGGAAAGTCAACATGCAAACCATGTTAGAGGGAAGGTTCAAGCAACCCTGAAGCGTAGAGAAGCCTGAGAAGGGCTGCCCAGGAGGAGGTTAACGTTCAGACTGTGTAACCAACCACCAGAGTGCTCCAGATTCCTGGAGAAGTTACCTTCTTTGAAAGGTAACTTATATATCCTATATGCTTACCTCTCCATACCATCCCCCGCTCTCAGTGGGTAGAGCGCCACATACACTTAAGGCTGCCCAATACTTCCCATCATAAGTGAAAGAATCAATGAGTGAGAGCACATACAAACACCCCACATACACTCTCTCTATAAATACTAACAAAACTGCACAAGAAACCAATTGTTTTCAAGTCTGTGGCAAGCGTGGATGCCTTGTGCATTAGCTCACAGCTGGTCCAGATCCCAAGGACTGTTACAACTTTTCCTTAGGGTACCAAAGTGTTTCCCCATTTAAAGTTTCAACATCCCATGACCTGTGAAGGGCTGAAGGCAATGTGTGGGATCAGCTGAGTTCATGTCTTGAGCCCAGTGGGGCATGGGGACCCCTCCTGAGTGCACCAAGGAGGAGAGACCAGCAGAAGCAATGCCAAGGATGGGACCAGCCCATCCTCAGCAGCTCCCCAGATCACCCTAACGCTCTCCAGCTACGACCCTGTGCTGTAAGCCTGGAGGAAAAGCAGTGGTAAGAGCAGTAAACTTAAATACAAAGTGATGCTCTCCTCCTTTAGCCAAAGGAGGTGGCTGTGGTTATCTCACTCAGCCTCTGCCACACAGCAATCGCAATTAAAATATGAAACCTCCCACTTACAAGGCCTGAATCAGTGGCTTTGTAACACAGACTCATTAGAAATGAAGGTAATGGATGTATCTTTCAGGAAGAGGGTTAAACCAAATCACCTGGAAGTGTAACTGCTGAGCACCAACCCATGCAGGGGGAAAGCCAGGGATGAGATGGTACCAAGTGACACATTTAAGAAAATTATGCCTCCAGACAAAAACATCCTGTGCATTTCTAGGGGCTGATTGTGCCTCATTTGAAGCACGTCCTAATCACCTAGAAACACTGCTCTTCCATGTCCTCTTGGTTAATTATCCCCACTGTGCATTTGCAATTCCAGCACAGAAAAGACGGGTTGAGGGCAAGCGCAGCGTGCTCTGCCTGCTGCCTTCATCAGCACATGACCAGGGAAAGCCTCAGCTGCTGCCAGGGAATCAACGGTGCTGCTTCCTCCAAAGCCTCTGCCTCAGAAGAAATCAGCCAAATGTCAGCCCAAGGCTGACGCTCCTTTTCACTCCTCCTGCTTTCCTGGAAAAAGCATAACACTGGAACAGCAAGGGAAAACTATGCCGTGATCAATGAAAGTACGTTGTCTGTCCTTGGATCCAGTCAGCTGGGAAACTGCAGAGAGGAAGCATAAAGATAAGGAGGAATTTCACCTTTCAGTGCCTCTGAGAGGTGAGAACCAGCACAACCCTCCCCAACGCCTGCAAACCTGGCCTCAGACTGCACAAGCACAGGCAGCTCTGGCACAGGAGAGAGAGGGAGGGGAGAGACCCATTTCGGGCTTTGTAAAACCAAATGAAATATAGTTTTGATTGGGGCCCCAATCTCCTCAAATCCTCACCTCAGGGGTACGGACATCGCACATTCACGTGCACAGAGGACAGCAGCGCCTGCTCCCTGCCGGAGCTGGGGCAAGCCTCTCGACTGCCACGTGAAAGCAGAGACCCCTGGTATCCCCGACTGCAGCTCTGGGCAGCCGTTCACGTCAGGGGCAGCCAAAGGACATCTCACATGCCAAATGCAGCCCGCAGGTCTGCCGATCACAATCTTTATCACAGAGATGCAGTTAACAGATGACCGATGGGCTTTCTTGATCCAAGTCAGCAGACCCTTTAAATGAAGGGAAAAATTTCCTCCAGAATGTCAGCACAGACTGCAGCGCTGCACTCCAGAGTAGTTTAATATTTGATGAGACTGTTTTGCTCTCAAAACTGGGCCAGGTTTGGGTGCCCGTTCTCATACACTGGTCTATTTTTAAATTAATTCGGTTTTAGGGTGAAGAAAGATCTGCTGTATCTTACTATTGCACTGCAGAAGGATCGCGTGGATATTCAGAACGTACGATGGAGAAACCAACAGCTGTGGGGAGACGGTCTCC